CGTATGTTGTTCTGTGTCAGCTGCGTCACACGGATACGCTGTTTTTGTCCAGATCAAATCACAACAATGTAGGAAACAGATCCGGCATGGCGCAGCTGACACAGAACAGCATAAGCTGTTTGCTTTTAGTGGATACTCTCCAAAATGGCACCAGGGTGACGCGGAGGAGACGAATTGTTGAATAAAGTTGTTATTTTTTTTCTTTTGCGCACAAAAAATTCTCGTAGCTTCGTAAAATTACGGTTGAACCACTGATGTCACATGGACTATTTTACCGATGTCCTTGCTACGTTTCAGGACTTGGGAACATTTGAGTTGTGTTGCTGTCTATGCAGGGTCAGACAGCTCACAGATTCCATCAAAAATATCTTAATTTGTGTTCCGAAGATTAACGAAGTTCTTACACTAATCACACCCAGGAGTAGGCAGGAGGTTACCTTTACTGTATGCCATGGAAGAAACAGTCAGTCAAACATAGTAGTAGAGCTGCACAATTCTGGATAAATTGATCGCGATTTTTTTATTTATTTTTTGGTATCAAATAGAGATCATAATTCTTCTACAGATAACTAAACAAAATAGCTTGTCTACTAGAGGTTCTGACGAAATGTTCATTTTTGCAGTCTATGTACTTTTTTACATTTTAATAATTTATTGCAAAATCTGCACCTCTTTTCTGGCTAATATTAATTTCATAATGATCCTTACTCCAGTAAGTCAAGTAGCAGAAGTTACAGAAAGTGAAAATGTGCAAATACTATTGGCCCATTTTGGGGTTGTGTCTGTGTGTTTTGTCTGCAGAAATGTGGTACTGGGTGTTCCTGTGGTGTCTATTCTCGTCTCTGTTCGTTCACAGTACCGTGGGTCTGCTGATGTGTGTGACTCTGCAGCGTCATAAGAGAGGACGGCTCATCACACTGGTGCTCATCAGCGTGGGGTTCCTGGCCTCTCTCACCGGCGGGGTCATCACTAGTCAGTACTCACTCACTTCTGCTTTTCTTATCAGCTTTTGTGGTCTAAGCAATTTTAGAAATTGTGTGCATGTTCTTAAACCTAATATGACATCGATATTATTAAATGTCCCTGGTTGTTTGGTGCATGTTTCATTAATGCATAGTTTTTAAAAGCTTGTTTGTTCAATTTCTTTTTTTTCTCAATTCTGAAAACACTTTTCTGCTGGCAAAATGAGGCTAGGAAATATTTATTATCCAACTAGATTTTTACATTTTCTGAAGTAAAACTGAGTTGTGTTTGCTTGTGCATGATGCTAGTGAGTTCTGGGAGATTTCTAGACAGTTACCTACGATTTCTTAGTGATTTTTAGTACAAATCTTGTAAATAATTTTTATGTGATTAATAAAATGCATTATAATTAGTGATGCACCAAAATGATTTTTTTAATGCCTCACTGACAGCTAAATTAGAGTTTTAATTCAGCCAAAAACTGGAAATAAAGTTTATATAATAATCAACGCTCAAATAAAACTGATTTGTATATAAAATTTTAAACTGCACATAGGATGCAAATTTTTTAATGATATATTGTTAACATTTAAATGATGACCGTATTAAAAACTTGCTTTCGTGACAGATTAATTAAAATATGCATTATGTAATGAAGACCATGGGTGCAGTAAAAATATAATATGTATTATAGTGCATATATTTAGCAAAATGCTGTTCTCTAGAGTTATTTTTTCTATCTGTCTGTTGAGGTTATGGACATTAATTGGCTTTCCTGAGGTAAATATAATGCGTGATTGACATATTTCTGCGGTTGAAGCACTGATTGAGCGATTACATGAGACATGAATCAGTTCAGTAAATTGTACTGTTTCATTCAACATACCTTCTGATGTTCATTCATGTTTATTTTGTGCTGTAACTAGTAGTAAAGAGGGAGAGGTGATTGGTTCGCTTCCCAATTGAGCTGAGGGACCTACAGCTAACTTTTTTATTTATTATTTTAATTTCAATTTAATGTTACTTTCAGTCAATGATTTCAGAACTATTTTGTCCGAAACCGAAAACGTATTTTTGAATGAATTTTTTTTTTGGCTGGCAAAATTTTGGTGCATCTTTATAATGCAATATGTTAAAGGTGTTTTAAGGACAATGGGCTGGGTGTCAGTGAACTAGCTGTTAGCTGTTCTCAAGTCAGACACAAATGGAGTTTGACTCCATTTATATATAGCCGTACAATATAGTGCCCATTCCCAGTTTATTTTTGAATGAATTTTTTTTTGGCTGGCAAAATTTTGGTGCATCTTTATAATGCAATATGTTAAAGATGTTTTAAGGACAATGGGCTGGGTGTCAGTGAACTAGCTGTTAGCTGTTCTCAAGTCAGACACAAATGGAGTTTGACTCCATTTATATATAGCCGTACAATATAGTGCCCATTCCCAGTGGCCTGCTTTATTATTAATATGGATTTTGCAGAGAGAGAGAAAGATAGATAGAGAGAGAGAGACATTAACTGAGAGCCACATCACACACACACCTGTCACACACAGCGACTTACATATACATCAACCTACACACAGGCTTTTAGACAAACACACTGAATCATCTCACTAAAACATTTAATAACAGTCAGACGTCTGCTTGGAGAACATAAATGACTGAGCCAGGCTAAAGTGCTATCCAGTCTAGAGATCTTTGGCGTAAGTCTTTTATTTTATATTAGTAAGACTCCCAAACAGGACATTGAGAGCACATTCATCCTTCCATGACTTTCATTAGACTGATCATATTTAATTTTCTTTAATTTTATGTCGATCTCCCATCCTAGAACATTTATTGAAACAACCATGATTTATTAATATATGACTGCCCACATTTATGTATCAGCTCCTGTTTCCAGTATTCAGCAACTTGCCTGCGTAATCGTAAGGGTCAGAGAGAAGGTAAAAAAATAAAAAAAAAATCTCATGAGAAGCTAAATTATGACCTTTTTTTCTAATCTGGTATCTGCTGCTGTTCTTTGCTAGGCTGAATTTTGAATTAGTCTGAGAGTCAATATTTACAAGCATATTACATAATATTGTCCTATTTGTTTTTAAAGCAGAAATATAGTGGAAACTATTTGGTGTCTTAATTGAACTTTTAAACTCTTAAGGCTGCAAAACTGATGTTGACTTTGCAACAGCCACAGTCACAAAAAACATCTATATTTCAGTTTCAGATGTGATTTCCCAGAGGAAGGTTTTATCATTTACATATTGCTTTTTCGTGGCTCAGTAGACCTGAAGGTCTCTTGTGGGTTATGTGTTATTTAATTATTAACTTTGCCTCAGATGTTCCTTTTTAAATCCTCAGAACAAAGAACAAATAAACATGATACAATATCTATGTATCTATCTGCCTATCTGTCTATCTTTAAGCTTAACCATTTCAGACTAGGGTTTCTCAAGCCAACATCAATGTTTGTCTGCAGTCTTTGCTATCTAGTCATATGTGAATGTTGATGTCCCCTGTCTCAGGTGCAGCAGTGGCAGGTGTGTACCGTGTGGCAGGGAAGGACATGGCTCCTCTTGAAGCTCTGGTGTTTGGGGTGGGCCAGAATGCTTTCACCGTCATCATCTCATTCTCACGGATCTTGGCCACTCTTTAAATGGACTGAAAGCATCATTGACTGACACACCCAACAGCCAATCGGCCGGCAGAAGAGCCGGGGTCGAGGTGAGTGGGGTTTAACCACAGAGGTTTGGACTGCGGTACAAAACGATGAGCTTTAGGAGTCACTAATGGCCAATGGACCACTATATGAAACCCTCTGGAATGGCAGTCTTGGAGATTTGAACATTTCAAGAAGCAAAAACAGCATTATAGGCCAATGACTCAATCAACGTGCCAACTGCCTTGATGGAGGATTGAGATGAATCTTCGGATGTCTGTCTGTCTTTGTTAAACATTTGTTTTGTTTTTGCACATGGATCGCTTCAGCTTTATGGAAACTGGGTGGTTTTGGAGCCGTAGCTGGGCTGTAACGCCAAGATGGATGCATCGAAAACATCCTCCAATAATTTGACTGTCAATATGTCTGTCTGTCCTCAAACATTTTCTAATTCTGCTCTGCTGAACGGCCCGAAACATTCCTGTTTGTATTATTATATATTTTCCCTCTGGTCCAGCAGTATTACCACATCCAGTTTTCTTCTTCCACTTTGCACTTTCTGCATTTTGAAAACTGTCTAAAAGGTGTAAGATCTGTAGAAGGTATGCTGGGATGCAATATGGACATTAATTCGAGGAGGTTTAGGTGTAATCTGGTCTCTTTTAACCAATATAAATGTATCCATAATGGAAAAATGCCTTATAATATGGTAACACATAATGGAACATTAATATGAATTTTAACTGTGGTATTTAATCAAATGTCAGTTTTAAAGCAAAGATGACAAGTATTCAAAAAGTCACTATGGCCTACAACGTCTTGTTCTGTGTCAAGATGTGATGTAATCCACCAACTGCGATTATATCATGGAAACATTCAAATCTGATCTTGTCCTTGTACACAGTATTTAACGTCTTCATGTATAATCCATTTTTATCCAGCATTACTGTGGCAATACTCTCCCTGCTCAAATATGGGGACTTAAACCTCAGGCCTTAAAAGACAAGAGAGACAATTTTGTCCTGGACTCGTCCTAACCAGTTTGAGAGGCTGGCGTACGACTATGTGAGTAAATCAAGGGGTGATTTTCTCCTTTGGCATCACAAGTTCAACCTGAAAAATGTATTGTACTTGAAAGCTCTTGTGTGGAAGTGTGCACTGATGCCATAATGAAAACGGTCACTCGTGGGTCTTTGCCAACAGACGTGTGAAATTGCACTGGTAATTGTTTGCCTTCTGTAAGTTTCCCTTTTCCTAAAAGGACTTCACCAAAACAGTATGAATTACAGTTCTGTAAGGAACAGGAGCAAGTGTCCTGGTGTTAAAATATTAAGTAAATAGTTCATCCAAAAATTAAAATTTGCTGAAACTTAGTGTCAGGCCATCCAAGATGTAGATGAGTTTGTTTCTTCAGATTGAGGGAAATGTAGCATTACATCACTTGCTCACCAATGAATCTTTGGCAGTGAATGGGTGCTGTCAGAATGAGAGCTGACAAAAACATCACAATAATCCACAAGTAATCCACACAAATCCAGTCCATCAATTAACATCTTATGAAGTAAAAAGCTGTGTGTTTAAAAAACAAATCCATCATGAAGACATTTTTAATGTCAAATTATTGCTTGTGGTTAAAATATGAGTTCTCTATTCATAATATTGCTTTCTTCATTGAAAAAGTCATCTTGTCTGAATCAGGAGAGAAATGTGTGCAGATCAAGCACTGTTTACAAGCAAAAACAGTCCATAAATATGTGAGTGAATTTTGATGTGAGAGATGACAGGGGGTGGACTTTTTCACTGGAGAAAGCGTTATATATTATGGACCCAGAAAACTGCAGTTTAAAGTTAAAACACCTTAATGCTGGATTTGTTTCACACAAACACATAGCTTTTCAATTCATAAGATGTTAATTAAAGGTGACTTATCATGAAAATCTGACTTTTCCAGGTTTTAAGTGCTATAATCAGGTCCCCGGTGCATCTACCAACCAAGGAAATGTGAAAAAGATTAACCCAGTAACTTTGTTTTGGTAAGCCTTTTTCTGCAAGCGTCTGAAAAAACGAGCGTGTCAGATTTCTCTCCCCTAGTGACATTGGAAAGGGATCTCATTATAAAATTACCGCCCCTTAATCTGTAAGTTTTGTCAGATTTCTCTCCCCTAGTGACATTGGAAAGGGATCTCATTATAAAAGTACCGCCCCTTAATCTGTAAGTTTCTACCCACGGCGCCGTCATTTTGATTTCACAAGCGACAACGGTGTACCAGCTCTAATGCCATGATGAAAGTTTAAGCAAAACATGCTAACTGTTCTGCCTTTGGCTGCACAGACGAGCACAGAACACTATTTAGAGCCCAAGTCCCAGCCTCAGAGGAGACAAGAGAGCAGTGGATTTATTGATTTATTTATTTATGATTTATTTCCCAGCTGTTTACCTTCACAGGCATAACCGACTGTTTTTGTAACTCGTGTGTGTTTTTAACGTAAACTTGTGTGTGAATGAGAACTTAGTTTAGTACTCGCATGCTGTGACAGCCGCTTTCTGTCCGTGTGCTTCGGATGTGTGCTCTCAGAAAACCGTATATCAGAAGTTTAAACTAATATGGTTTAAAACGCATGATTTCAGCACGATAAAAATGATAATCAGAACCAAAGCCAAAATGTTTATGAGCAGCAGCTCATTTGCATTTAAAGAGAGTCACGAAAAACAGCGTGGTTCTGCTTCCACTCAATATAGGCATTTTCATAATGATATAATAAATGATCTGTGGAGTATTTTGAGCTGAAACTTCACAGACACATTCTGGGGACACCAGAGACTTATATTACATATTGTAAAAAGGGGCATAATATGTCTCCTTTAAAGTTATGTGGAATTACTTGTGAATTATTATGATGTTTTTACACCCGTTTACAACAGAGGATCCATTGGTAAGCAAGTGATGTAATGCTATATTTCTCCTGCTAAATCTGTAATGATGAAGAAACAAACTCATCTACATATTGGATGGACTGAAGGTGTGTACATTTTCATTTTGGGGGGAACAATTCCTTAAACTGAAAAATGTTTTGAACGGTGAACAGTGTGGAATGTGATGACAGCGGTGTGATTTACGATACCTCACTGCTGCCACTAGCTTTATTACTGGCAAAACTTTCCTTGTTTTTCCGTTTCCTTCTTATAAACACCATTAATTTTAATGCTAATAATAACCTAATAGTTCAAGACCATTCAAATTCGATTTACATTCCAATTTCGATTCATTGAAAATTCAATTTACATTCCAATTTAAATTTTTGCAAAGAATTACATTTTTTATTTTTTAAATATATTTATTTGGTAGCACTTTCTATGAAGCTTTATATATATAATGCATCATGAAGGTATTCAAAAATATGCAGAATACTCAGTTACCAAGGCAAGAATCACTGTTATTATTGGTATAAATAAATATGGTTAGGGATTTGAACAAACTAGTATTAAATTGTGGACTTGAACCTTTTTTTATCTAGTGTGGGTGCAAAAATATCTGTAGCACTGAATTTTTGTTAAAAAGCTTCATAATAAAACTTTTAAATAATAATTAATTTAATGATAGTTCAGTTTTTCACTGATGCTGCTATAGCACTATAGCCATAAATAGGAGAACTGTATTAAAATGATTTAGGAATCAATTACAGCTGCATTTTAAGGCATTATTAAAAAATTTGAATACCTTTAAAATGCATTATATATAGGCTTCGCTTTTCAAACAAAAACAAACTTAGTTGCATTTAATTATTATTTCGAAGTATTGTTTATCTCTTTAAGACTGATGCCAAATTCCTCCTGTTTATTACTGTATTACAAAATAGCATATTCCTAATACTTGTTTGTCTATCAACAGTTCATTAATGTATGGTTGTTGTGTCAAAGTGAATAATGTCCGATTGTTGGTTTAAAACACTGCATTGTATGAAACAAGTGATGTCTGAAGCCACTGAAACACAGGATCATGGGAATTGATTCCTTTTGCTTTATTGTTCTGTTGTCATTGACATAATGTTTATTTAAGCCAAAGTATTCCTTATCTTTTTAGCTTTAGGACTTTTTTATTTGCATATGATTTTTATGAAAAGCAACCGTTGTTTATGACTTTTTTTATATTATGTGTTTTTGCTTGTCAGATTTCTCAGCGCTGATTCATGAAGTCTGAACAAGGTTACTCCTGAAAAGGCTGATTTTCCATTTGTTGATACTGTGAAAGACTTTCAGACGTTATTAATGTGTTCAGGTATTGATGAGGGTGTTGGATGATGAAGGTGTTGGCTTACTTATTTCCAATCTTATGCAACTAAAAGTTCACTTTCAGTACCAGACCAGCACTGCAGAGGGCGTCAGTGTACTGTGAACAAGTGTGAAACCTCCTTCTGTCAAAGGAAACTGATTGTATCTGCAGAATTATGCAGGTCTAATGTGTTGATGCATAATGTATGAGGGATTCTGCCAGTTGAAAAGTAATCGCTTTTTTACTTAAACTGCTCAGAATGACATACTACCATGTTGTTTATACTATTTTTGTATGAACTGCAAAAAAACAGATTTTTTTATTTAGCATTTTTTACTTGTTCTCCAGAACAAATATCTAAACATTCTTAACTGTCACCCATCCCCTCAGCATTTTAAAATCAGACATTGCCTTACATTGGAAATGGTACTTCAAAATCATATTAAAAATGTATTCGTTCATGAATTATAACAATTTATGTTTGGATAGTGCACTTTAACGTCTGTTCAAAAATGGGGGTGACAGTTAAGAGGTTAAATTAATTTACATACAAGATATTAAGTCTTATTTTCTGAAAAATGTATCAAAATTAAGTGAGATTAAGCTTAAAACAAGACAAATAAATAAATACAAATAATAAAATAAAATAAAAACTTTCAAATTCAAAGGGAAAATAAGTCAAGTTTGTTTTTCTTAGTCCATTGACATATATTTGTAGTTTTAAGCATAAAAGTACTTATTTTTTATTGTATTTATTGATTATTATTATTATTATTCCAGAAAAATTTTTGCTTCTTAAGTTGATGTATCTTGATTTAAGAAAGTTTGGACACTTTTACTAAGTAAATACTAAATACTAAGTAAGAAAATAATTTTTGCAGTAACCCTGATGATAACCACAAAATTGCATAAAAAATCAAAAACTTGCAACTTGATGTCATGTGACTACATTTGAAAATTGTTACATACTGCATACAGTTTCGCATTGTTCTCAAAAACAAAATAATAAATACTGTCTACATTCAGTACGTAATGCATAGTATACAGGAGGCATAGTATTCCATTCTGAACGCAGCCATACACGTTTTATATTGTTTTGACAAAATGTTTTGGATTTGAGTATATCAGTTGAATTCATTTTAACTGTGTATATTTATGATTTATTCAGTCCACGTTTGTAGAGAATGAAAAAATGTTAAAGCAACAGTATGTAGGCTAGTTTTATGCATTTTTGTGACTTTGGAGCCTCCTACAGTTAAATAAGTGTAAATCACTGTCCTGATTACAGCGGGTAGCTGTTCACCAGTGTTGCCAAGTCCGCAGTTTTCCCACGGAATTGGGCTACTTTAAAGGGATAGTTCACCCAAAAATGAAAATTTGATGTTTATCTGCTTACCCCCAGGGCATCCAAGATGTAG